TAGTATTTAAAGGAAGGTTTTGGAGGGCGGAGTCCGAGCGTGTTCCGCCTGCTGAAAGCTCCGTTTGTTACTTGATTCTCTTGAGAGCGGTATATCTGCGGCGCTGTGTTATTCCCGCCGTTAGGCTTTTTAGGCTGTCTTACGGTTTACTCAGTTTTAATTTCAATTCCTTTACTTTTTGATTTACGCCATAATTGCTGGCATGTTCCTCAAGCACAAGATGTGCTTCCTGGTGTTAACTTTATCTGGGTTAAATAAAAGGGTCGTTTACACCCTTCACAGTCTGTGTGGCAATTTACAAGATATAGCAATTAGTCGCTTACTTCTTAGGTAGAGTTCTCATAGTTTATGTTACCAAAGAGAACGAGACTATTCTTATCTCAATTATTGCGAATTATGCAAGATTATATTCTCTTCCCCAAAATATGGTATTTCATTCCACCCCATATTATCAAATTTAGACATGCTTCTTACCCTAAAATTAGATATTTAGTTCTTAGATTTTCGCTGTACTAGTTTATAACAGTTACACCAAATCATTCAACAGAACTCGTAAATAAATTTACAAATATTTCATCTAAGAATTTCACCATACTTTCATTTGATTTAAAATCCGTATTCACCATTGTTCCGTTCAATTGCCTAGAAACGAGGCTTGAAAAATTTCATTTCTTATGTAACGAAACTTACAAAGTTAATTAGTTAACAAAGTTAATCAACTTTGTAGTAAACGCATTTTGTTTTCCAAAATAAGTATTACCATAAGACTGAGGGATTAGCCATGGGAAATCCTCTCAGTATTATTCTTGCTGATATGTATATGGATTATTATGAATCTAAATTATTTAAAATATAACGTTTTCCAGTTTTGCTTCACTGTGTTGATGATATATTTTATCCTGCTTGAGGTAATAAAGAAGATTTTATTAAAGTTCGCTCAACGATAATTTCATGTGTTCTGTTATTCAGTTCCGAATTTGAGACGTCTAATTCCCTTCTGTTTTTCGACATCCTGGTCATACGAAATGAATCTAATTTCAATAAAACTGTGTAGTTTAATTTCTTAGTTTCCTGAGTTCAAGCCCGAGTGGAGTCTTTATTGTAAAACTCCAAGAAGGAGTAATCTGTGAACTTCATTTGGAATAATAAAAGATTTTTAACCCTTCTCACGTTTTGTTCTCTATCTCACGAACTTAAGCGATTATTCGCTCATCAGTTCTTAAGGTTCCTCCATTTTAATTGTAACTTAAAGGTACCCATGTTGGAATCTGGCACGCTGAGCTGTAAAATTTAGCCTTCAGGTCGTTTTCCCTTCCTCAAATAAAATTCGCTTGGCATTTCCATAGTTCCCTACTCTCACTCCATAAGAAATATGTTGGGGAAAAAAAGAAACACATAAAGTCTCTACGCTATCACTGTTGGTAAAAGAAAAAAAAAAAAAAATATATAATATATAATCTATCTAAAACCTTTTTAAACGTTTCTTGGTATTTTCCCCACCACAAATCATTCAAAGCTACTTATTGCCTATTATTCAAATTGCAATATTAATATGATGTGATTACAATGGAAATATGGTATCATTTTATAAATCAAAATTCAAGTAGAATAAACTTTTTAATGATCGTACATAAAGCTTCTTACGAGTTCGCTTCGTTGAAAATATCCTGTCAATATGCTTAACACACGAACTCGAATTTCAAAGCTTCAAGAATAAAATTTTATGTTAAGTTCTAAAATACTACGCAATTAAGAGATCTGAAATGATTTAACAAATTCACAATTCAAGTTATTATTCTTGCCATCTTCTCACTTCAAATAGGAGGAACCAGATGGAATTTCTGGAGAGTACCTTTCGTCATTCTAAAACAGAGAATCGTTAATTCGTCGTATCAAGATGACACAACAGTAGTGGCTACAATTCTGTCTTAATTGAATACATTTCATCGATTAAAAGGGTTCGTTCATGTTTATCTAGTTGACATGATGTGTGGGAAATGTCCCCGAGATATTTAACTGAGTATCCAAGGAATTTAATGGCGTTTAATAGACTGTACCTCAGTGATAATGCTGCATTTGTTTAATTCCTTTATATGTTCTTCAGTTCCCTTCACTGTCACAAATAGCTACGTAGAAGTCACTGGTAAGGAGTAATACGATATGGTAGTTCATAACAATGTTCAGTAACTATAGCCCACATCTGGCGTTAGAAAATCAAACGAATTAGAATTGCCATTTAACATATTTAACTGCAATTTTGGCGAAACAAGAATCGATGCCAAATAGGAAATTACTACCCAACTGCTTCAATTTTATGTTACATAATATGTTTTGAAATCATAGATTCGTGATTTTATTTTTAAAAGCAATAAACAAATCATTAATAAACCTGAAAAGAATGGTCGAAAGGAGATTAGCTTCGGGGTAATTTCCTATTAAATAAGCGTATTTCACTTTTAGTCATAGTCTTTTAGTGGTTCGTGTTCTTGCCTAGACTGACAAAATAGTGTTAACAAATAGTCATAAAAAGTAATATATTCTCATGGCGAGATTTAGATAGCATTGGTTGGCTTCATAATCCAACGCATTGATCAGATTATTGTTTTAGTCTGGGTTTGCAAACTTAATAATATTCGCACTAAATCTTTTAACTGAGAGAGAGAATGAAAGCACAGAAAAAGTTTCATCATTAACAATTAAAATGAATAAATTATGTTTCTAGGCAAAAATATAACCTTGTTATTACACATCATTTAGAGCAAACAACTAGAACACTATTTATTTTAACTTATTTGTGTTTATACTATTATGCATTTTGATGTGATATAAATATTAGTTAAAAAATTGTGATCTAAAGAAAACTACCATTTGCAAAATAAGCTCCTTAGCTAAAGTATGGAACTATACAGATTTTAAGCACAGTAGGATTTTATGTTTATTAGCCCATTATTTTTATCATTTCTGTTACTTCTATTTTCGTTGGCTTTCCCCAGGATGCTAGTTTTCTTATATGTAAGAACAAATTTCTTGAAGCTAAAAGAGAGCTTTTGACGATGGCCTCTGACCTTCTGCTAATCACTTTGGCCCAGCTTACCTGAACCGGTTTTAGCCTTTGCTAGTCGAGTTTTGTTCGCATGATTATAGTGCTATTGCCAAAGGTTACACTACGGTTTAACCGTGTGATTTACATACTTTATCTCTTAAGATTTACGTTAACATTTATGTTTTGTTCACTCCTACAAAAGCCTGTTAATTTTATTAAACTTGTAAGTTTTTAAACTGAAATTCTAATAAAAAAAACTTATTCTAAGTTACATTTTAGCATTTCTCTCCATATAGTGAGCTTTAGATTATTCTTATTCGGTATTCTTTCCTTTAAAATCAAAAGCTGAAAATATTAGAAACATACCGAAACTGGCCAACGATTAGGCTTCTTACAATTAACCGAGTTGTTAATGCAAGGGGGAAGTTCTCAAATTTTTAAGGAAATTAAACATTCTACTTCAGTTATACATACGAATTGTAAGAAAGGGAATGAGCTCTATTACTTCAAAATCTAGTTCGTATTAAGCAAAGATAACTTTTTATGTGCTTCACGCGACTATTTTGTTTGCGATAATCACTTTATTGCTATGTTCTGTTGTAGAGTCATTAGGATTATTTGGAGGCAGACGAGATGAAAAATTAGCAATCGCCTTCGCCAGGAATCGAACCACGGACCTCTGGAATACCGGCCCAGTGTGCAGAACCACTACACCACGAAGGCACGCTAGGAAAGAAGAAGATATACCTTACACTGTAAACAAGCGTATCCTAAATTTCTAATTCAGCCTCAGAATGCGCTGAAGATTCTTCGCAGCCACGCGTGTCCCCATTCTGAACTTATACTTCTGTATCAAGAATAAAAAAAAAAGAAAAGTTTATAACAGAAGAATTCTTAAAAGGCCTTGATCATCATTGAATTTTCAGAACGGAAAGATTATGTGCAGTTGGAAAACAGCTAACCTCTGACCTGAGAATAATATTATCTGACAATAACACTGGGAAATCTGGAGCAACTCACAACACTGAGCATTAGTATATTAAATACTTATTACTGTTTTATTTATTAACTTAATTTAAAATTTTAAAATTTTTCATTCACTAACCTATAGCCTTTCGGCCACCCTTTTCCCAGGTAAATGGGATTGGAAGACTAAAAGTATGTAAGACACAAATCTGCATGCAATCAGATTTCTACCTTTTGATTTAATTTTGAAAATAATTATAAATACATAAATCGAAGACAGCTGTTAATAATTTTTAATAAAAGTCCAAAAGGTTAAATTTCGAATTCTTACCGATAAATTAAAAGATATTCTTCTTGCTGCTGCAACAAATTAGCTACCAAATGAATCAACTAAGGTGTAGCAACATAAATTCATTGGAGGGCTCATTTTTGGCATTATGAATTAATTAAAAAAAGTGTGTAAAAATCAACAAATATAAAATCCATCTATTTATTTATATATTTCTTTTATCTATTAGCAATTTTTAAACGATTTTTAAAGACAAAAACATTTTTGCCAAAATATGTTTATGAAACCTACAGACCTTTCTTCTAAAATATATTTATGGACTCTGCAAAAGTTTCTGCTGAAAGTATTTATGGATCTCAACATTTGGGGAAGCTACACTGCTTCGGTCTTCTATTCAAATTACTTGGCCAGAGATGAGAAATGTTAATATTGCATTGTGTGGAGTATTCTGCTTTAATACCTGCATTCATAAAACAACATTTTCACTAAAATATCCAAATTATCACTTTTTTAAAACTGCGATGCTCAATGGTTTAAAATTGCGTACAGCAAAGTAAGGCTTCTGAAGATTCAAATTGAACCTAATATAACAATTAACATGATTAATAGTTGACCTAACCCAAGCTAGCATTATATTTCATGCTAAATTATAATTATTTTCATATGTATACTCAAATTGAAAAATTGCACGATTTTTCTCACCTTGTTGTAGTTCTCCTTCCACACAAAGATCTTCAATAACTTGTCGAGATCCGGAAACAACAGAATTGTGTAATCTTTGTTGAATTGAGTCGTAGCATCGCAAAGTGTGCTCATCAACACATTTTACTCCCTGCTGAAGTTTCCTATGAAGTATATATATTATATTTCAAAATAATACACATTCATATTAAACATTATACATTCGTGAGCAAAATTCAGCTAATTTGAAAATTATGTCTATTTTTGCGAAAAGTATTAAACAGAGGCCCGGTGGCGCAGCAGCACCACACGTCCGGGGTTCGATTCCCGGGCTGGGCAAGGTCGACTCAGCCTTTCATCCCTTGATTTCCATCACTTGGGTCGATAAAATGAGTACCAAGTTCACTTGGGGATTAAACGCTGGGGGTCCTGCGACAAGCTGACCATTTGTTCAGGGCATATGCCTTACGCACCCCGGGGCCCACGGTCAAGAAAGCAGATTTCGGGCACTGCAGGCATTGGCCCGCGTTTCTCGCAAGAGTTGAATAAAGTTTATAAGACATAACATAAATTGAACAGACACGAATGTGTGGATGACGAAATGAGATGGAGAACTGGCAGTAGGAGGCAGGTAGCTACAGATCTTAGTGTAACGCTCTGTGTCGTCTGCAATTTGTGGAAAGAATTTCAGAACAATAGACCTGGACAAGGTAGACCGAGATCCACAACGACGAATGAGAATCATTATATAACCCTTTTAGTGCGGCTACACAGGACTACTGCGGCTTCACAGCTCTCGCATAAGCTGTATGCTGCCACTGGAACCCGAGTTTCACGGTGTACAGTTGCCCGAAGGTTTCATGAGATTTGGTAGGGCTGTATGCCAGAAGGCCCGCTGTTTATGTCCCTGCTCACTTCAGCACACAAGATAACGCGTTTAATATGGTGCAGACAACATGCGCCTTGCACCAGACTTCCGTGGAGCACCGTGCTTGTGCTTTTTACAAATGAGTCGAGATTGAGCCTGCACATTGATTCTCGGCTTAAAAGGATCATTACGGTCCTGGAGGTATAATGATTTGGGCAGGCATTATGTTGGACTACCGCACACCTCCTGCATGTGTTTGACAAAGCCTCCCTGACAGCTTTGAGGTATAGCAAGATCTTAATTTTGACACCCTGACATGCTGTTAATGGATGATAACTGTCGTCTGCATATGGCTCAGCTGGTTGATGATTACCTGCACACTTAGGATATTCGACGCATGGATAGGCTAGTCAGATCTCCTGATCTTAACCATATATAGCATGTTTGGCACACTCTTGGTAAGGCGATTTTATCTTTTATCTCTGCATCCCTCTCCGGGAGTCATCCCAGAGTTGAAAATTGCCTTGTTGCAGGAGTGGGATCGACTGCCACAGGGACACCTCATCTACCTCCTATCCAGTACGCACTCACACTGCGTGACTATCTGGCTGTGAGAGGGGACCATATCCCATATTAGACTCATTTTCAGTTCGATAATCCCAATGTGGATTTTGGACATCTTTGCATTATGAGCTTTATTGATAATCAAGAGTACATAAAATTACTTTTGAATTGTGAAGTATACATCTCTGTTATAAATGCATATACATACCAAATTTCACTAAAATCTCACCATTATTTTCTTAGGAATTCTGCATTCGCAAATTCTCTTAATTTTGCGCACGAACATGTATACGGTTGATAAATGATATTTTATTTTACTACGAATATCGTAATATCTTCCAACCCTTCTAAGAATTCTATAAACTGTGCTTAATTTTACACTTACTGAACACTTCTTTAACGCCAGGGAATCACCGAAGATACTCGCCATTATTTAAGACATAATTTTATGCCCATGTCATTATTATAACTAGAACTCAGCAAAACATTTTATCTAATTTAGTACTGTAAATTAATTTAATGTCACAGTTATGGATTATGTTTTTGCAGTGGTCCATGTTGGGAGCATTTTTAAGTACCTAGAGGTTAAAATAAATAACTTTTTATCATGGCATCGGATTTATATCACCATTACTGTGTTTTATCTTCAGACTTCACTACAACAACACTGTCCAACGGCCATGGTATCTATTTACGACTGAAAACAGTCAGTTGTTTTTAACACATGTTGTTAAATATAACAGACATATTTTAAAATTTATCAATATTACTTTATACATGCAGTCGCTTTTTGGCGTCTCATTTGTGCTCTTATCTGCAAGTTTTCTTCCGTTACACCTTTTTTTCCAGTCTGTTAAAATACTAATAATGTAGTGCGCTAGAATATAAGACATGACATTTTTCCTTCTAGTGACATATAAATTAAGCAAAATATTTCATTTATAAAGCAAGGCTAAAAAAAGACTTTCAACAAGTGCTTGACATTTTTAAAATGTCAACCACACACATGCACAAAAATATCGCAATGGACTAATGAAATTCATGTGTACTGAACTTGGACAACTGACTACAGTTACACTGAACACTGTAAGATAGAAATTCTTTGGTTTCGTGTAAAATAGACAGAGCATTGTACAGAGCAGCGATATTCCATTCTGTTTTCTTGGACCGACCCCTTTCAAAAGAATGGTTTTATTCATCGAACCCCTAACATTTTTCTCGGTACTATACAGCATTAAACATAATCGTAATACAAATAATTGCACATAAATAACTTACAGAAAACAATTAGACGATAATATAAAAAAGTTTTGAAAAGAAAATTTAATTTAAAAGATTTATGTGTGGACCCCTTCAATATTTAAAAAAGTAAACAAGAAGTTACATTTTTCGAACAATCTTTACAAATCCTGATACACTGAATATTTAAAGAAAACCTTAATTGCATTAGTAATGAACGTCTATTTCTGATGGTTAAGTTTTATTTCAGCGTAAAAGTATAAATTGCTTTAAATATGCAACTGTCTCAACTGGCAAATATTTAGATGTTTAGAAAAGTTAGAAATTTTAGAATAGAGTCAAAGTTTATGGCCTTGAAACAGTAAAAGTAATGTGGTGTTGAAGGAATACAGCAAAGGAAGCTTTTGAAAATACGAGTTCATCTAGACCTTTTGACGACTAAAGTATTGAGGAGAGTTCGTTCTTTACTGGATGAAATACTTTGTGCTGCAAGGGAGATCTGTCGTTGATTAATGAGAATGCCTAAGATATTAGCAAATGGGATACTAGGGAATGTCCTCGAAACTTTTCTTATTCGCCAAGTGATACGGGAGAAAGGAAGTCTTCATCTATTTGATGCGGGTAAGGATTTTGAAAAATATCTTGGCTTTTGATTCAAAGTCATGCAGACATAAATCGCAAATCGCAATGGATGCATCCTGTTAGATTGGTGTAGAATTCAAGTTCATGGAGAAAGGCCTTGAGTTCGGTAAAGTAAAAATCATAAGAAGTTAGTTGTTTAGCGCCTTCGGTTGCATAAGGATATTGAGTCCATACACTAAAAGAATTTTCTCTTCCAGTTCTAGTCTAATGAAATTCATGTGTACTGAACTTGGATAAGACTTTATACGTTAAATATAATGTATAGCTTTATTGTTGTTAAGAACGTTTATCTATGGAATTGGGTAATTGAAGAAAGAAGAATAAAATACTTTTAAAGAGCAACTGATTTTTAATTGGACTTTTTTTAATGAGAATGTCTTTACTACTTGTTATTTCTTGTGATTATTTCAAGAGATTCATTTTGCATCCTACTGTATTCTTGTGTCATGATCATACTGAAATCTAAACAAGAGATATGAAAGGAAAATAAATATTTATTAACCCTATGAAAATAAATTATTAAGCCCATGAAATTTGTGGTATACATCAAGAAAAGTCTAAACTTTTGTGTACAGAGGAAAACTCGTCATTAAAAGAAATGGAACTTATGAAACCAGTGATGTATGTGTTCACGTATAAAAATATAAAAGGAAATCCAAACGTAGTTACCTCATTGCTGACAAGCCTTCTGCTGATATTAATAAACGTATAATTTTGCTTTTGATAACGAAAAAAGCCAACTTAGAAACCAACAATTAGAATCAAACGCAAGAAAGTTCCACGTTAATTTAAGGTGGTAAAACTGAAATTTATATGCAGTTGATATCTTTACTTTTAAAATTTCTTATTAAAATAGACTATAATTCTGTGTCTGTTATATACAAAGTATTCACTATTTCACGGAGATTACATACTTCGTTTACAAAAGTTCATGAATCATCAGAGTCTTTTATTGCAGTAGTTGATCACGGAAGAAGGAATCCGCAGAACTCCAGCACGCAATGGATTTTTTGCAACATTCTCTTATATTTTACTGTACTATTATTACATTACACCTTTAAGAAGATTATTATTATCATTTGCTGAAAATTAAGATTTTTCTATTACGATTGTTTTTTAAAAAAATCTTGTAATGAAACTAAAGCAGCGGATCGTAATCTAATAAGTCTTTGCCTAAAATATACTTGCAGTACATTGATAAACCGAGCCAAATCAAACTAATATTTATTAAACATGCATTCTCATATAAATGTGAGTTTAATAATTTTAAAATGGTGGTTAATACTCGTATACATAAAATGGTGGTTAATACCCGTATCTATTGTCTAGAATTTACACAGTTTTTGTCAATCTGTGGAGGCACTGAACATTTTTGGAATTAGGAAACTTTAGAAATTAATTATCACTCTCCCATGATTAGAACAATGGATCTTCCAGCGATAGTTGTAAATGCATCACGAAGACATGCATGCAAGAATGGGATAATTTCCTATATCCCCTCACATTAGATACCATTAAAGTTTTTGGAGTAGAAAACCGGAAACTCATTTATGCTTTCATCGGGATTCAAGCACGGACTTTCTAATGCTAGATGGAGGTGCACATAGGAAAGGGGAAGGAAGGAGAGAAGTCCTTATAAATCTTCCTTTACCTTTGCTTTTAACAAAGTACATCTTTATTAGGAACGATCACATAAGTTGTAGAGACATTAGGATGTTTTTGGAAGCAGGCAAGATGAATAATTAGCAACGCCTTCGCCGGGAATCGAACCACGGACTTCTGAAATACCGGCTCAGTGTCCTGAACACTACACCACAAAGGCACGCTAGGAAGGCGGAAGAAGTACCTTATACAGTGAATAGCTTCAACTTTGCATTTGTTTGGTTTTACAAACCTCTGTTTTTGTCTCAACTGATTAGAATCTCTTCCTTTCACTAAAGCAAGGTGAAACTGTTCCTCTAACTAAAACAATGCCTTTCTTTTGAAATATTTGAAATGAAGTTAAAATACCTTAAAAAGCAGTTTATATTCCGAAAAATAGCGAATGTTTATTTTTCCAGCAGAAAAGCATAAAATAGAAAGTAAATATTCTTAATTAATCACTTTATTTGAATACGAAACATGCAAGAACGCTTTTACATTGTAGGAAGGAAATAATTAAAAAAATGAACAGTTAGGATTATATACACTACACAGTACGCTGAGTTCATTTCTAACTAACCATGAAAATATATGTAAACTGTATTTTTTTAGTTCTGTTTCTAAAGGGAAGGTAAGACCTTTCTATACCTAAGTGCATCTTCTGCATTGATTTTGTATAAGAAGTGAATTGTGTTCTGCAAATAAGAAAAGTTATTTTATTGTTAAAGATTTTATCACTCACTTCTGTCAATAATTTTCAAAACCTTTTCCTGTCTTTATTGAAATGTTATCCGATATAATCCTCTGACATGCAGTTTGTAATCTAGATTAAAAAATGCATAAGTAGTTACATTGAAAACTGGGTGTAGTAGATAAAAATTTGGCAATGCATGTCTCAAAGAATAGAGTAAAAGTGATACCTGAATACTAAGTCTCAGAATGTGAACCCCGCGATGCATGAATTACAACTCCCTTGACTCTAGCCTTCTCTTTGAAAGGAAACAATCACAAAATTAGCGCGTTTCCTGACAAAGCTATTATTATAATTATTTGGACAGTTTCGAGTCGTCTCGAAACTATAAATTAAATCTGGAACTGAAGAGGATTCTGAAACTTATTTGGGAAGCAATTTACATAGAAAAGATAGTTACCTGCAAACCAAATGGAGTTCATCCTTTGTGGAAGCAAAAGCCAAATCATCACTCTTTGCCAAAGATTGCAGAACGACGAAACACTGATCCAGCTCACTTGTCGAGCAACTGTAAGTTCTAATAATTACTAATAAAATAAAAATAATATGTATTAGTCATAACATTTATTTCATATTTTTATGTGCTCTTAATAAAAAATAAAAAAATAAAAAAAAAAAAAAACATGACTTCTGTAATTTGTGATTTCGAAGTGTTAAAATATAGTAATATTAAAACACATATTTGCTATTAAAACAAATAATGACACAATATTGCAAACTAGATTAAGTAACGATGTGCGGCTTTGTGATATTGAAAAATTACAGGTAATTCAGCAAAGATAATCAATAGATCTACCTCTGTTTGTAAGGTCAGTTGCAAAAATTACATTTCTTTTTCATTTAAAGTTCAGCTTTTCACATTTCTTTTCCAAGTAAAATACAGAAGAAAGAAACACGAGGAAGGCAAAGATAAAGCATGCGGATGTAATAATTACAATAAGAACAGAATATATTTGATTGATGAACGAATGGTAGCTCTCTCTCGATATGCTCTGCTGTTATTGTAAGCTTTGTTTTAAAATTTTGCCTACAATAATTGCATTCCAAAAGGGACGTTAGAACAAGATATTACACTCGAAATGGCATTTTGCATTGAATCTTTAAAAAAGAAGTATCGCATTTCAGATTGTTGCCACCAAATATTATTGCCCTATGTTATATTTAAAGAAATAAAATAATGGAGAATCTGCATGAAGGTATGTATGTTTCTTACACTGTAGAAAAACAACGGTACCTAGAGCCATCAAATTTTTAATAACATAGTCCTCCACCCGAACATGGGCACCTGGAAGCCGGAATTTGGAATTTATTTTATTATCTATTTCAGATTTTGTAAAAGTTTAACGAATTTTTTATTAATATACTCAACGGTTTCAAAGCGAGCAGTGGCAATACTATACGGAATAAAAGATGTTTAAGTCCAGAGCACGAGACTGTCCATCGGAAATTCTAAAGATATGCTGTTTTTAGATATTTTGAGATTTTGCTGTTGAATTGAATTTTATGTGGCGTGAGCGCCGAGAACATGATATTTAATAAATAAACCAAACACACAAAATGATAATAACAAAAAGACAAAAAAAAGAAAATTATACTTAATAATAAAGCTAAAAACACAAAAAGAATGGGTTAGCCGGAGTGAATGTAACAGCAGACTGGTAACTGAGAGATCAGCGAGAGCGTAAAAGATCTTAACAAACCCTATTGGGCGACCATTAAAATCTGAAACCTTTCAGAATTTTTTTGCTATTATTTTTCATCTATGTTTGAGGTAGATATCCTTTCTATTGAAGAAAGGATTGAATTTCTCAGTGCATTAGGTAACAATACGGATATTTCTTCAGTATCCCTCAATGACCTTTAACTGTCGCTACGTTTTTTAATGTAATGAAATTTAGGTATGCAACTTACGGTCGCAAGCACTTAACTGCATCCTCATATTACCTAATTATTATTACATATTACCTTATTGTTTGCCATACAGTTTTTACACAGAAATTTCTATTTAGAATTGCTCTTGAGTTTTTAATACAAAATATTTTAAGTTATACAGTTGAACTTTGACTATCAGACAGCTTCAGGACTTTCACCGTGACGGATAAGACAATAAAGGGATGTTAGAAACTCCTTTCACCACAACAATCAACAAAAAATGATAGAAGCACTCGGTAAAGAAGACCCATTTTTAGTATAGCGCAGTGAACGGTACAATAGAATTGAAAATTAGAAGTAATATGTCTCATTATCTTGTTTACTGTTTTGTACAGTAAAATAAAATACTTAAAAACTGCTCAAATCACTCCTAGCCAGATGGCAAGTATCAAATATGTTTTATTTTGAAGCCCTTAGTTGAAGCTTCATGCATTCCTGCATAGTGCTTTACAAACTGGTTGACGAATTGAACATGATAGCTGCTGGAATAATAACTGCTGGAATTTCATGGCAATTTTTAATGGAAAACTTTATCTGTGCAGATATCTGGGCAACACAATGTTTTATATTTTAAAACTTTAATAATAAATAAAACAGAAATACTACCTCATGTTGTTGTACAATCATATTTTATTGCGTCTTTTATCGCCTTTTTAAAATTACCTCCCACCATATTCATACGGATGGAAAATGAAACTGATAATTGAAACAGTGATGAATAATGGAATTTATAATGCAAAAATTTCTTCAGCTGAGTATGAAATTTTTTGACATCCCATATTCAAAGAATAAAGGATTTTAACTTAGTGACTTGTCATCGGTTTTAGGATCTATCCAGTTATTTTAAATGACAAAATTTATAAATCTTAAAGTAACTAAAATTACATTTGTAAAAAAATTGTCAATAAAGATTTAGAAGGAAGCAGACGAGAAAACAATATATTCTATTTAAGTAGTTTGAAAAAATGTGTTGAATTAAAACTACTTGGCAGACAAAACAGGCAGACATTTTCAATACACTAGAAACTTCAAAACACTAATTTACAAAAGTATTTAATAACAGCTTAAAGAATGTTTATAAACGAACTAAAGAGTTTAATAGCATTTATAATAACTTACGTTAAGTTCATTATTTTAAATAGATACATACGAATTTGAATACATATACAAAACCTTTTACACTACAGTGCAAATGGTTATTACAAAACTCTTAAGAAATCTTCGAAAGTATTTCATAGAAAAGACCAAAAATAGTTCCCATAAAAATTATCAGATTTGGGCAATTAATGCATATGTTTTTTTCTCCCAAAACGGTACCAGTATTTTACCATCTTAGCAAGTTACATTTCCTTTGATGTGATTATTGCTTCTATAACATTCATTGTACTGTACATCTGATAAATTTCAGTAATATCCTTTCCATTTAGAATAAAATACATTACTTTATTTTGAATGAAAAAAAGAACTACTGAAATCATCAGCCATATGGTAGTAGAAGGTTTAAGAAATGGGTAGGAGTGCAGTGACTGATTCTAATAATTTTAACAAAATGGTAGAAAAATAGTGTAATTCCTACATGGTAACTTTCTCCATAAATTTAGTACAAAAGTATTATTAAAAATTCTTTTGTTACCATGAGAGATGGTGAAGCACATCTTGCCATTCCTTTCAACAAGGTTGCTAAGTTAAGACATGCCACTACCATTACGGTATTCCTTGCTCTTTCCGGGCTATGGCAAATAAGCCTCCAGAGTTAATTAATTCGACAGTAATTTCGAGGAGTTTCTTTGGCAATGAAGTACTTTAATCCAAACGTATTTGCCATACTGCATCAATATTAGAAAAAGCAAAATATTTCCTTTATGATTAAACGTGTGCGTAATTAAAGGCGTAGATTACAGCTGATCATTTTCCAAAGCGGGAAAAAATGAGTATACGCAAAGCTTTCTGTTTAAAGGTTGCTCAGCAAAGGAAGTTTAGCGATAGGCAATAGAAAATAGATTACAGATAATAAAGTACTACTCTTGATAATTTTGATAATCCACTGAAATAAAATGGAACATGTGCGGGATCTCCTTGTATAAAAAAAGTAACGGTATGCCTTTGGGGAATTCTGGCAGGGAATGAATACGATCGCCATCGGCGGCGAAGCTGACGTATTAATTAAAACTATTATTTAGGTATAGGGGTTGTGAAAAGATTCCAGAAGAGCAATCTGGGAAAGAATTTCTGAGAAATATGAAGAAAAGAAAAGACAGGGGAGAATACAATACGAGGATCGATAATACAGTTTTCTCTGGATATTCTGTACTTAAAATTATAACCTGTATGTAGGATAATCTAATTTCCATTTCGAAGCTAATTTCTTAAAATTATATTGCCTTAATTATGTCAAGTTCTGAAATAAATTTAAGTATAATTTATCTTTTATCTTCATGAAGTATTTATATTAATAAGTATTTTCTCCCTCTTTTCCTCATGCCTTCGGGGTATAACTGAAAGCACGCTCGACGTGCATTCGCAGTCCAGAGCTCGAATCCCGGCAAGGGCATTGCGGATTTTTTCCGTTCCTGCATACATATATAAGCATGCAAGAACTATTTGCGTTACGAAAAATACCTTAAAGAAGAATTTTTGAGGGAAAAAAACTCCTTTTCAAAATTCACATAAAGGAAAAACCACGGAAACCCACACAGCCAGCCTGTTAATCGGAAAAAACCGAATACACAAACTACCAGTGTTCAAAGCCTTATCCATTCGGATGTCGCGAGCCATTAGGTAATGAAGTCCTTTTAAAGAAAAAGTGTTTACGATTAAACGGATTATTTTTATAAGGTATTCTAGTGAAATTAAACTAATTCTTAAAAACAATAGTAAAAAAAAAAAAAAAAGCTTAAGATTTTGGAAATATCGCATGATTGCGCCCTGAATCTTGTGTGCTTTCTAAACTAGTGCTTCTCGATTATTTTATATCACGGCGAACCACACAAGTATAAATAATTTCACGGCAACTCAGAAGCATGAATAACATCATGAGGCATTGTGAAGAAACATTCTTTCCATTAACACGAATAATTTCTTCTATTTTCTACCGGAGGTTCGATTAATAAAATCTTTCTTTCTCATATTTTTCATTATACTGCATAAACATTCCAGCTAAGCATTCATTTCAGATAATTCTTCTTATGCGATAATAAACACAAAATAAACAAAACAAAGAGAATGGAAACACATAATGCATATATCCTCAGTGATTAGTATTTTACATAGCTTTTACATCGCATCTGACAGGCATTACCGATTGAAACTGTGATTAAATTTTTAGAACACTTATTTTATAAAATGATGATACGAAAAATACAACAGTAAAATTAATTATACACAAAAGGATTACTCACTATGAGTAAGTATGCTAATAATAATAACTTAATGGCAAAATAAGCATTTTAAGTATTAATATAAGCATCTGAATTTTTTTACCGCGATGAATACATGTATTATCATCTTATTTCAGTGAGATACTTGGGTTTGCTTCTACGAAAGTAATTTTTTTATATCTAGGCATATGATAGAAAGAGCTACACGCAATTCATGA